GGTCGATTCCTGATCTCTACTGTGCGAGCGATAGACACAGCAGTACACTATTTGTGTAACTCCTGTGTCAACCAGAAGCCATAAAACAGAAAAACTTGGTGCCTCAAGGTTCTTGAGACACTTGACACAGATGTCATCGGGAACGTACACTTAGACTTCAGCACGTCAGTCGTACATCTTATCTGCGTATCTGTGAGGAACAGCAGCTGCGATTTGTCGGTTTCAAAGTAGTAGTGGACCGAATCGAGATTTGAATGCAGACTTCGAATGTTAGTGAGGTGCACTTTTAGTAGGAGGACGTGCATTGGAGCATTCCGGGATTTTTCCTTGGGTGGCGGGGCAGCCTTTCGCGGGTGGCTTTCCCGCTACTTGGGCCGCCAAATTCCCACGTTCGGCCAGCGGTGCACCGTGCTTCGGATCTCGCTAGCCTCCAGAACCGAATGCTCAGTGTGGTAGTACAAGCAGCTACAACTCGTCATCAGACACAATGCAACTCCTGAACACAAGTCGGAACACGGTAAAAACCATTTGGCGACTCGACTGCGTCGGGAGGGTGGAGACTAGCCACGGCCGAAGCCTACCACTAGTAGTTATTGCTCTTTAGCACCACCCAGGGGTCATTTGTAGGGTCTCGAGGGTAAACCTGTGGAAGCGAGCAACATCAACCCCCAAAAAACATACAGTTGTCTTTCATCCATCATCATACATACTTCACCTAACTTATTTTCCATTCCTCCACATACATTCAGTGTAGCAAAGCGACGTTCATCGCCCGCTTTTCGCCCCGTGAGACTCGCTTCCGTGACAAGTGGCGAGCTGTATCGCCGCCTCCGTGTTTATTTGGTTTTCTAGAACGTATTTCAATCCCACGTTTAGCTAGGGAAGTACATTGTCCACTCCGTCAGCAATTTTTTTTTCGCAAAATTTGCCTGGTTCCGGGATAAAAAAAAACGGCTCGCTCCTGATCAGATATGCCTCTGGCCACGCATTCATCGGCACGGCAGACCTTAGATTGGTGGATATGGAAGGGGAGAAGGAAGAGGAAAGGATAGGTGTGGTGGAAAGGGGATGCCGGGGGGGGGGGGTATGGGACGGATTGGGTAAAAAAGATTCTATTACCATGGAGGGATAAGGCTTACGGTCATGGAAGCTAGGGTGCCAAGGTTGCGTACCCGTACATTCACGCAATCAACAACCGGGAAAATGTACTTGGTGAATGTCTCGTGACAGAATAAAATTAATAAACCAATATTTATAAAGAGCAATACCTATATATGTTTTACCACCACGATATTCAATTATTTTTTTGTGAAATGCCACTGGTTTGTAATGTATATTAATACAGGGATCGAACATTTAGAAAAACTTCCTTCGACCCGGCTGGATTCGAACCAACGTCTTTTACCGTGGCAAACGCTATGCCAACTAAGCCACGGAACGAACCAGTAGACCTTACGACATTTTTAATTTACTTGTTCCAAGAGATCGTGCTTCTACCGTCTGTCAATCGACGCCATCCTGTGGTTGGACAACATTCAGTACCTATACTCAACAATACGATCTTGTTTAGTCTTTAAATAAATTATGGAACAACGAGAAAAGAAAAAAGAGAAAAGAGTCTTTATTACTTCCTCTTCTCGACTATGACGATGTTTGTTATTTGGATGCTACTGAGGAGCTGCTTAACAAACTGGAGCGCCTACAAAATCTGGCAATCCGTTTCATATTCGGTTTACGGAAATATGACCGTGTCTCTGAATTTCGGACTAGGTTGAAATGGCTACCAACCCGACTTCGCCGAGATATGCACGTTCTTTGTCTCCTTTACAAAATTCTACATTACCCCCAGCTTCCTCATTGTCTGTGTTCCCGTTTTTCTCCCTTATCCCCCAGTTCCCGCCCAAAACGTACCTGTGACACCTGATCACTAATAAATCCCCAATCCAACTCGAAATTCTTCCACAACTCTTTCACGGTAAGTGCAACTCGTATGTGGAATAAACTGCCTGCTGGCATTCGTGACGGTCCATCGGTGGCATCTTTCAAACATAAATTAAAAGAGCACTACCTGTCGAACGCGTTAGATAGAATAGGTAACATATATTATAAAGTAGTAATTTGTTTAGATTATAATATATATTCTGCTTATGTTTGTATTTATGTATATAAAGTTCATGTAGGTGTGTATGTCTATCATATGTATATATTATCATCCTTTATATGTATATATATTATTTTACTATTAAATTATTTTTTTTATTCACATTAAAATTTTAATTTTATTGTACAATAATTAGTCCCGCAGACGTCATTTTTCACCTAGGCTAGGGTTGGCTGGAAGAGATCTCTTCTAGAGATAAGCTCACCTTTGTATATGTCCTTTATAACTTGTGTTTCATGTATCTTTTCTTTGTGCAATAAAGACTTATTATTATTATAGAAAAATCTCGTAAATGGATTTTTTTAAAGCATAAAGGCACAAGTAAAATTGCCCCGTAAATGTTCATTCAAAAACTGTAAGAAAGGGGTATCTTTAAATACGATGAGAAACAAATTCGAAAACATCAATCAAAAACGAAGTAGGTAAGCAACATTACAACGCAGATAAAATCATTAGCAATAAAGGGATTTGTTGACTTAAATCTCTGGTAAATTTTTGTGCGTGATACGATAATAGGTATTGTGCGATGTATTTAGAACAGTGTAATTTAAAACCAATTACGCACATCATATTATAATTTTGGTAACGCGTCAGTGTAGGTTACATAGAAGCGTGAGTTTTATAAAGTTTATATATAATTAGAATGTTGGTACGACGGTTGGGTAAACGAAAAATGGATTCCTATTATTTAAACCCCGACGCAAAAACACTCCCCGTTATAAATTAGAAGCCTTGGTCTGTGTATATGTGTGTCTGTCTGTGGCTTTGTAACTCTCAAACGGAGGACTGATGTCAAAGCGGTTATTAAATATTTTTTTATCGGCTATTTTAAGTTCTTACGTTTCATAGTAACTGTTGTGATTATGTGTAGGAGCATCTAGTGTTTATATATGATGAACATTTGTTCAGCAGTTTGAAGACCGTGAGGGTGCGTACAGATCTGGTGAATGCGCTGCACACATGCACTGCACACGCTTTGTTAATATATGAGGCGCAGTTAGTAGGTACATGTATGAGTTAATATATGCAGCTCGCGAGGCTGTCACAAACAAGCGCATTTGCGGCGTATTCCGCAAACACTCTTAGCTCTTTTCTCAGTTAGTGCAGTGGATCAAGTCATAAAATAAACATTTATTTTATTTCCACTTATCCGGTTGACTCGAAATTTTTTATGGTTTGAAAATCCGATGACATTACATTTATATGGTAACATGGATCTAACGCTACAATCAGGATGATCGGCAGACTAATCAACTCTTCAATTACTTATAGCAGAATGGACGAGCACGGACTTGAACATACTGTTGTGTTTCGGGGTTTTTTAAGTTTTATGTGGCAATTTATTGCATCACTCATTGTGATACTGAGCAATTGATTAAATAAATCGCATATGAAAGCAAATTCTGTCATAACTCAAAATTGTTGAGTTGAGTTGCGACAGTATTTGGTTTCATGGGCGGAATATTGGACGACAATACTACGTTACTCTGATCTTAAATTAAATAACTAAAACAACTTGTTTTATGAAAATCGGAAACGACGACGATACCACAAACGCCCAGTCTCGAGACAATATAGAAAAGTTACATTAATTCTACATTGACCAGGTCGGGAATCAAACTTGGGACCTCAGAAGATGGTGACACCATGAAAACCGGTGAGCGAATCACTCGACCACGGAGGACGTCAAATGATGCTTCTTCCTTTAAAATAAGTAGTGAAAGTACAGTCATCAATTTGTATAAATATTTTATTGTATTTATATACAATAAAATATTTTTTTTTATTATCTAGGGTTAGCAAGATTTGATGTTAAAGTATGAAAATAATACCTAATTATGAAGCAATTTACGTTTTGGAGATTCATCAAGGCCATCTTCAGTTCGGGTACTCGTGAACAAATGCCTTAATATCTTCGCTGTAATGAAACCTGTACATCGTACCAAATTATAAATTGATTAATATCGACGAAGCTTTACATTTTCAAAGAATTGTTCCTCCCTCGGCCGTGAGTGATCTTTATTGGGTTTCTCGTAAAACGCGATGAGGGGCAGACGTTCCATTTATTATTTAGGAGCTTCCTCGTCGCCAAATTGAATCAGAATTCTAAATCATGTGAGGTCGAAAACTTGGTTAGTGGAAACCTACACCATAATTTCAGTGCTATTGTTTGGGTTAGGTATCGCAGTAATCAAATTTTTGACGTTTTGCTTTGTGATGAAATTTATCATCGTCAATATCGTCAACCGCCTATATGTCATACTGTTGGGTATGGTTCTCGTATGGGTTGGGATTTTGTACATTTTCTAAAGGATGTAAACAGTCTTCCATAACCAGGTTTCACTGAGATGTTTTCCTTCACAGTTCGCGAGAAGATTGCTATTAACCATTAACAAATATGTATAACTTACAATTTTATTGTATTTATGTTATCGCAATGGGTGACCACGGCCTTTGAAATTATGTACAGAGAAATATCGCTAGACTAAGTTGCGATATATTTAATGATGGAAAAACTAGACTAGGAATGACTAGCATCGTTAGAACTTCAAAATAGCTTTTGGAATAAAAGTTACGTGTTTGAATTCTGTAGTAGTTCTGTTCGTAGCTGATAAATTATAAACATCCAATTTCACTCACGTACATTTGCCAATTGATGAGAAACAAAACAAACATCTGGTTAAAGTAATTAATACGTTTAATCACTGTGTAATTCCGCCCGATAGAAAACACTTGAAAAGGGTTCAGTCTATTTTATTGCTGTTACACTTTTGAGAAGTTAAGTCCACAATTCAGTTCTGTACGTATAAAACAAGATATTAGATGTGTGATTATTCAAAATGATTAATGATTATTTTATAATAAGCACATATAATTTAAAATACAGTGACCTATATAATGACAAAACACCAACACGCATACAATTTGCAATATTTCTTCCCTCCAAATAAAACACATTAAATTAAACAGAAACAGTAAATTGCATTTTAACCACATACCGATTATTGCCATGAAAACACGAGTTTAACATAAAAAGCTCCCATTATATTATTATGTAGCATTCATATTGCACAGACCCAATTTCTTCAAGGAAGATTTATTCCTTACTAAAGTCGTTTGTCTTCATGATAACAATCACTAGCAGAAAAAAAATGGACCCCAGGCTCTTTGTTTCCCGTCAAATACAGTAAAAATGTAATTTCAAAGTTGGCGTCCACTACTGGCCGGACGTGCCTGCAAATATTTAGTAGCATTGTATTGGTCATTGGACATCGCGTCTCTGTTCTCATCCGCGAACCTGAATTGCGAGGACTCGCGTCGTTCGTATTGCTCATTCATTTTGTTAATAGTTTGATTGAAGTTGTTAAGCATTGCATCCCTCATGTTGCGGAAGTTTGTCGTGCGTTCTGCGAAGTCGTCTTCAGTCAATTTAATGAAATTTATTTTGTGGTTTCTTAAGCAGTCTAGCCTATCGTGCTTTCCTCCAAAGTCGCGTTTCTCGGCTTGTACGCCTCGCTCACTTACATTTTTGTTAATCATCTTATCCAAGTCGATAACTTTACCTGGAAACACGTGACATGCTAATGTTAGGGATTAAAATTATGACGTAAATAAAATTCTTTTTATTGTGAGATTCAGATTAAACACATTTAAAAAATATTTAAATATGCCTTTAACATTTTTTGAACATATTATTGTGTTAAATGCAAATAATGCAAAAGCTCAGTGACCCAGCCAGTTTCAAGCAGAGACAGGTAAGTACATAGGTATTCAGCGTAGTTCAACTCCAAGTGTGTTAATTGCACCGCGAGTCTGTACTGCAAACACCAAATTGTTTCTGGCTACGCTGCTACAGCTAGACATGGGGCTGCTACAGCTGTCACCGTGACTAACGTTCCAGTTACAAAAAAATCACAGTGACAAATTTGCGTGATTTTCTGTCCTATTACTTACTATTATTATGTGATTTTGCAAGCGGCTACTTTCTACGGGTGTTATTATTGGTCACTTTGAAATAACGTTTAACTCCATTTGAAAAGTTGATCCGCAACAACCTTCACAGTTTTGCAGGCTTAGGACTGTCGCATTATACGTTAATAATAAAGCGGCGTGTTTATTATTTCGGATCAATTTTGTATTTACACTGATCTAGTTATTTCTTGGTTCACAATTAGAATTTAATAATAAAATCAAAGTACAATAAATAGCGCAGTCGCCAGATTCTACAGAACGGAGATCGCGCATGATTTTGTGTGTAAAATACGTCGTAGGTATGTCATGATGTGAGTGACGAAGACGATTGGTGGAACGAAGGTACAAACTATGTACTTTTAGAATGTCGTTCCTTGGTAAAAAGTCACGGTGATATTATGTGACGACTGATCACAGTGATTTTTTCATCCTGTCATTATGTATCACCCACCTCTAGCTACAGCCACTACAGTTACAACATACAAAAGTAATAATGTGAAAAAATGCAAAATCAAGTGATGATACCTCGTAGCTTATCATCGACTTGTTTCGCACATTCTCTCTCTCGTTGAAGACCATTATTACATTTCATTTTCAAGCCATTCGTTTGGGTACTTTGTCCTACATTGCTCGTTCGCTTTAGAGAGATTATAGCGTTGAGATGTTCTTTATGCCTTTTGGCTGTTTTGGAGTCGATCGCTTCGGAACCGTTAGCCGTCGAATTTTCAGCTCTTAGATTGTTGGGTATGTTGCAGTGAATTGATTTGGAACAACTTGTTGTAGCGCCATTATAATAGCCGTCTGCTTTGCGTATTGTATGACTATTATCTTCAATCCCGTTCTTAGCAGTATCATCACTTTCGACGATTTCCTTGAAAATAATCATGTTTGTGACCTGGCCAACCTTCTTGTGTTTGGTGATAGTTATTGTGGGTGTATTTTTTACCTTTTTGCTGCAATTTTGATGGTGAATATAGCTATTCGTGATTACTTTTGTAGTACAAATCGAGTTGGTCGCTATTTCTCGTCGCTTGCACTTTTTAATAAATATGAATTAAAATGTCAATGTCATTCTTTGTCATTCGATTTGAAAAGTTCGAATGTAACCGGAGTTATACTTTTTTTTTTTTTAATATATAATAGACACACGCTTGGCTATACTACTTTCTTGAAATATAATATAACCATTCATTGTTTTCACAAAAGAGTAAGGGTAAACAAGATTGATAATGAAAGTATGCTAAAAAACATAAACAGATAAAAAACAACTGAAGAACTCTAATAAAGGATTTAAATAAAAATACATGTCGTAAATAACACGATGTCAATCTATATATTTGTCAGCTTCCCCGTTCAGGCGTTCGACTCGGTGACATTGTCGCCGGTGAGAATTATAATGAACCTATACACAAATATGTGCCGTAAAATGTAACACCCTTGACATTTTTCTCTTGAGTCGTGCAGTAAACGACCTAATATAATTAATACGAGATTAATAGCTCAATCACTTTGTGATTTATTACGGTCTGTAACAAAAATATATATGACGGAGGGTCCCCAAGGGATTCTTTTATTACTATATAATAAGATGTTTATTTTCTCCAACAATAATGATTACAAACGAATAGAACAAAGCTTTAATGGCAATATTTGTAAGAGAGGAGAAGAGGAGAGTACTGGATGTTAATATTCTTGCTCTGTACCTCTTGGTGGAACAAATTTTTTAATCATCAGCAACCCATTTATACGTCCCGCTGGTGGGCACGGGTCTCCTCTCATGCGAAGGCTTAGGCCACAGTCCGTTACGCTTGCCCAATGCGGACGTCACACGTTTTCCACTGGTTGCGAATCTTCTTCAACATACAGGTTTCATCACGATGTTTTCCTTCCCCGAAAATATCATGGTCAATTTCAAATTCAATTTCGCACGTAAAGTCCGAGAAACTCAGACTTGCGAGCCCGGACTAGAACCCATGTTCTCTGAGGCGGTAAATAAACTGTTTATTTAAGAAATTATATAGTTATCGAGTTCTTAGGTTTTCGCGTATATTTGTTTTTTCAAAAAACAATTGAAAAAACAAATATACGCGATTTAAATCCGGAAAAATAGTATCATTTCCTAAATTATATAGTTGTATAGTCTACGCCCTTTTCAGCAAAAAACCGCTGTGATGATGTACTAAAAATGTAGTGTGACAGATCATAATGTAATAACACCTAACCATCAATTTCCTTCAGGCGGCGATTAGTTGATAACGTCCCTGGATTGCAATGTTATTCCAAGGATTCGCACAAAGCGTTATACTTCCATATTTGCATGGCTTACGGTTATATTGTGTAATTCTGTGCCTGTAGACTTATTCCTTGAACGGTACAACTTGGGCTTTTTCAAGGCGAGAGTCAATGGGGCTACATAATACAGCCGTGCTTGCTCCATCGTTGACCTTATCATCGTAGTGAGGGCAAATACGCACTTATTTTATGCAAAAAAATATTCCTTTATTTAATTTTCACATATTTTAAAGTACAAATGTCTCGTGGGGAATTTGAAGAGTGTGGTCGCATAGTTGTTTACTTTTCATGTCTCGTGGCTTTGTTTTAATGAATCTTGTCAATTATCTATTTTTAATGCTGTCACTTCACTTATGCCAAACTTTTGAGGAGATATATTATTATGTACTTTTATCTTAGAGGATGGAAAAAAAGTCTAAGACTTTTATAGACTTGCGAAACTCCTAACCCGCATTCGAGTATTGTTGTGAATTAGAGAAGACTCGCCCTTGCGTTTGCACGCTTATTATTGTTTTATTTTAAAGCTATTTTTATGTTGCTTATTTAGTTACGTTAGTTATTTGTCGGAATACAAAAACGTATTCAAGCAGCAATATATACTCTTTTAAAATAACATCCCTTTTTTTACTCAAAATTTACCATTTATGGAGTTTAAAACTATCGTGAAATAAAAACCAGTAACCTCCAAATTTTTGTTTTACAAAAGTTTAAAGCTACCGTGAAACAAAAATTTCAATCCGTTAGTTATAGTTTCAGGTTACTTGGATGTCGAAAACCATAGAGAGTGAGAAATTTGACTCTTCCATGTTGTTTAGCCCTGCGCAATTTTTGGAAATATTTATTAACAAAGAGTTACGGCATTACGGAAGCATGTTTAATAAATTTCATGATTTTGAGTGCAATTTTTCTACCTATAAAGAAAGGTTTGTGATGACGATGACGATGATGATGATTATTTGCGTAAATTAATTATTGGATTAGAAATTATTGCAAGACAAACGTGGGGATGTAATTTAGCAGATCTAATTTAGCACTATTTTATAATTGAAGTGCATTATTTTCCGTTCCCGCAGAGTGAGTTGTTGGCCCTGTACATCAATCCTGTACTCGCATGAGTGAAGTGTAATGTCACACCGACCGAAAAAGGTTTTTAAAATATTGCTTCCGTCGTATCGTGATAAATATCCCCCGAGATGGTAGCAGGGTTATAAATTAAAAAAAAACTCGTAACTAGAAAAGTTGGTGAGCCAATTTTCTTCACTTAAGTAAGTGAAAGTTCAAATGGACGAACTACACAGGTATGAATTTGGGAGGAGATTTTTACTTGGAACTCTCGTTTTCAGTTTAGAACTGCGTAAGTGGTAAATTTGTACCCATTAAAAACCCATGCGTAATAATGAAGAATACTTTGTAATCATTATTTCCTTGAAACCCATTAATTTATTTTTACAGACGATACGACTTGTGTTTGAGGTGAACACCTGGTTGGAAGCTCGAACGAATGCCGACAGGGACTGCGTCACATTATTCCCTGGTTCCAGCATAGCGATAATCTTTTACCTTTAAATATTCCCATTTATAAGTTTTTGACATGTAGAATGGTAAAAAGAATCAAACGCTCAAAATACACAAGCAAAATTAGAGTTCATGATTGCCCCAAGTAATCCAAAGTTCCTATGCCACTCTGAACCACGTAACTTTGGCTCATGGCAACACAAAGTTTTACCTCAATGAGTTAGTATTAGAAAACGTAGAGACATCAATAAGAACAAAAATTTCCGGTTCGTGAAACTGAATCATTGACCCCGGTCGATGTAAAAAATGACAATGGGAGAAGCGATTGCGTAAAAAATATATCCGAAATAATAATGGTAAAGAGTTTTATTGTCATTATTTGTATTGTACTATTATATTACATTCCGTCCCAGAAACTTTACAATTTATCTCAACCTGCGCCAGTCAAGGGTGTGTAAAGTACCACATAAATATTATTACCATACAAATGTCATAAGACTCAATGTGGTTAATTCATTTCGCATAAACTTATTTAATACAACAATTCACTTCGTATAACGAATGTTTAATATAACTTACGTTCTATAATTTCAGCGTTCAATGCTCTGCAGCTTCACCTATACTAAATCCGAGTCGAGGCATGCTATTCATCTGAATGATTAATCAATAATGAAAGTTTATAAAAAAATTCAAACTTTACAGACGATGAAACTAATTGCAAATAACACAAAATTGTAATCAAAGTTCGTGGAATTACAATTACGCATTAGTTGCCAAGTTTTGTTGAAATCAGTTACCGGGATGTGCGCGAAACTGGATCCATCCCCTAGTTTTCCACCCTTAGAGGTGGAATATTTTCTTCTAATTTAAATAATAAACTTCTTAGGAAATGAAACTATTTTTCCGGATTTAAATCGCGTATATTTGTTTTTTCAAACAAACCGACGTTTCGGACCCTTTACAGGTCCCATGGTCACGGTTGACTGAGGTGGTACAGTCTTCAACCAGTTATGTCTAATATTAATCTGAACTCTATAAATAAACTTCTTCCCGACAAAAAAGAATTCATCAAAATCGATTCACTAATTATCGCGTATGTTTTTTTTTGCTTTTACAAAAAAAAAAAAGTAGAGAACCTTGTCCTTTTTTGAAGTCTGTTAATAAATAAAGTAGTTCAATGAAAACAAAACCCATTATCGTTGTAAATTAGAAAATTAAAATTAGATCTTTAAAAAATTATGTTAAAATGTAAAACTTATAAAATTGTCTTTTTAGAATTAAATGACATAAAATAAAATGAATGAAATTTGGCGCGCAAATAATAATAAAAAGTGTACATACTTAAACTAAACGTAATGAAAAAAAACATGACATGAAGTTATACCCAGCAGGGCTGTGTGGGGCTGTCTATTTTGATTGTTACAGTGGTCAAAATCCTGTTGGGTAGCGCACACCTCACGCACACGTCTCCAAAGTTAGGCTGCTATACTATAATGGCTGTTTTTTCGACCCTTATATAAAAATAAATACTAGGTACAATTGTAAACTTTCTGTCTCGTTGAGTCTGTTTAGTAAATGTGTTCTACTTACTACCTTTCTGGTGATTTCTTCTAAAAGGCAAATTAGAAATCACTCCGCCATAACAAACTGTTTTATTATTTTTGTTACTTATTAAATTGGTTTGTATAACGGAATAGTACCTGAACTCCAAGATACAGGTATCGTACTACTTTGGAAGTCGAAGTCACACTTTAACGTAAAACCTTATTGTTTGCAGAATAAAGACTATTATTTACACAACAACGATGGTAAATTTGGACGTCCAAGAAAAAGAAATTCAGCCGCATGCTATTTCATTCCAACATCTACATTCTAAATTACGCAAAAGATTAAAGATAGCTCAAGTACCTAATTTTAAGTAAAGCCGTTTATTTTGTTACAAACTTGTGGGAATAGAGCTTTAGGTGCAATAAATTAAGTAAGTGCTCACTTAATACGCTAAGTGCATTTAAATAGAACATTCCCCTTACTTAGGTTGATACCTAGTTCAGTTATTCTAGACTAACAGGGTTGTTTGTTGGCTTCGTTCTTGAAATTATAGAATATTTTAAGCGACCTTCACTTACGTAAAATATTTATTCTGAATGTAATGTTCTACATTAATTTATTGACAAT